TTAATTAATAATTTATTTAGAATGTTAAAATTTAATTTATAAAAATAATATTTTAAAAGAGAAGGGTTATAATAATACTGTGTAATTTTTATTAAGTATTACACTACTCAATAACTTTATATTAAATGTGAATTTTATAAATTCAACCGTTAGATTGAAAGTTTTTTACTCTTAACTCATATATACAAAATTTTATATTAATTCAAGATGATTTGATACTTTATTATTGTAAAACAAAATTGACGTGATATATACATTTCAAAATATACTAAAATATGAACACTTTGATTACCTTCAAGTTGTTGTTCAATTTTAACAAAATTCAATCTAACGGTTGAATTTACAAAATTCACATTTAATATAAAGTTATTGAGCAATGTAATACTTAGTAAAAGTCATACCGGTGTTATTATAACCCTTATCATTTTAAAATATATAAATTATTATTTAAACTTTTAAATTTATAATAAATAATTTAAATTGTATCATAATATTAATTTTAAATAGAAATAAGTAGATTGTTAATTATACAAGTAAGTATATATATATATATATATAAATAAATAAAGATTAATTAAATATAATATAATTATTATTATTGGTAATATAATTATTATATATTTGTTTATATTTTTATAGCGGACTAGACATGCCAAAATGAGAGGGATCCAAAAATAGTATAAGTATGAGATTGTATAGTTGAGGATGACTTAAATGAATTAATTTGTACTACTTATACTGATAACATGCATTGGCTTTTCTGTAGCCCATCTCATCAGAATTCTACAGTTAAGCGTGCTTGACCTGGAGTAGTGTAAGGATGAGTGACCTTTTGGGAAGTTTCCCAGAAAATGTGCAGTAAGGACAAAACACGTAAAAAAGTGAAGTGTCATGAAATAAAATCCTTGAGAGGCCAAATATGAGGGTTGTTACATTAATAAATTTATTAAAATTAAAAAAAATTCATAGGAAACGTTACCTACGGAATTTACCTACGAAAAATTTTGTAGGTAACTTTACCTACAAAAAATTCCGTAGGTAACATTACCTACAAAAAATTTTCGTAGGTAACGTTATCCATGAGATTATTACCTACGGATTTTTTTCGTAGGTAATCCGTAGGTAATTAATAGTTACCTACAGATTTTCATGCTTTCTTCCGTAGATAATGTTGATTTTTCTTGTAGTGTAAGGAGGTGGAGAATACTAGGGAGCTTGTCCTCGTATGTCTAAAAGCCTCATATTACTTAAGAATCGATTGGACGACTTTTAGGTATACTGAAACAAGCCTCCCAGTTGAGGCTAATGGGTAGTTTATGTACTATCCGATCTGTTAAACCGAGCTCGGAGCTCGGCACCACGACACAGGATGACCTCGGGTACACATTACATGACGTCAGCCCGGTATCTAAGTAAATCATAACTGATCCCAAAGGATCTCACCCCAGGCGAGATATATTATCTGATCTTATCATATCTTATCTCAGGCCCAGAGCCCAAAACAACCCTAATTCACACTAAGGTACGTGCATTATTTATACGAGACTCATACTCATACAAACCCTAACTTTAGCATCGGAGTCTCTTTTGCAGGTACCTCCCCCACCTCGGAGCACCACTACGTCGGCAAAGGAGGCTCACCGATCTTACTGGACGGATCATCACTACGACCAAATTCCGGTAAGAACATTTGGCGCCCACCGTGGGGCCGATCAAGACCAGCTCTCATCGGCCACCTGTATGGTTTCTACTAGGAGCCACATCAGACGAGCAACGGACGACGTAAGCCACTCAGTCACCATGGATAACGACGCAGCAACATTGAGAAGGCTGACCGACCAGGTCGAACAGATGCGACAACAGCACGACACCGACCTCCAGAACATGCGCACTTAGCATGTAAACGATCTCGCAGCCATGCAAGCAGCCAACGAAGCAGAACTCGCCTGCCACGCACCGATCTCACGCACCGACGCACAAGTCGGGGCAGGACACCAGCAAGGCCCCCACCCATGTTTTCGAAGGCCAAGAGCCCTTCTGCCGTCATCCTTTCGTGGACGGCATTATGGAGACTCCGCTACCCCGCGGGTGGAAACCCCTCCACCTCGACCGCTATGACGGCACAACGGACCCCGACGAACACATCGATTCGTACACAACCCAGGTAAACTTCTACACTAACAGTGATGCTATACTGTGTAGGGTTTTTCCGATCTCACTTAAGGGAGCGGCACTTCATTGGTACACCCAACTACCCGCCGGATCCATCGACAGTTTCAACACCCTGGTAAGGCGATTCATGGCGCAGTACGCCACCAGCCGACCCCACCACACTACCTCGGCCGCTTTGGCCAACCTCAGACAGAATGACGACGAGCCCCTGCGAACCTTCATGGAACGCTTCTCCAGCATCTCAGTGAGGATACAAAATTTGAATCCGGAGGTCGCCCTACACGCCATGCTCATGGCACTCAAGCCTGGGCCATTCGTTGACAGCCTATGTCGCGATGCCCCCCGCGACATGGATGAACTCCGCGCCCGCGCAGCCGGATACATCCTGATGGAGGAGCACTCCGCCTTCCGCGACCAGATTCGCGGAGAAACCCCAGCAAAGTCAGAGCAAGGGCATAAGGACAAGGTCAAGGTCAACAACGACAGCCATTTCAAAAAATTGACTAGAGCAAGCAGAGGAGGGAGATACGACTTCTACACTCCCCTAAACGCACCTAGGATACACATCCTGGAGGAAGCCAACAACAATAACTTGCTCGCCCTTCCACCACCGGGCAACACCCCAAACAACGCCGACAAGTCCAAGCACTGCCGGTACCACAGGAACCATGGTCACACCATGGAAGAATGTCGCACGCTCCGAGACCGCATCGAAGAGCTCATTCAAGCGGGTCACCTCGGCCAGTACGTACAACGACAACAGGGCAGCAGAGGTGGCCATGGAGGTCGGGGACGCGGCAAGAGACGAGGCTCAGGAGCCCGTACCGACACACCCCCGGGTCCCCAACAAAACGCTAGCGGCGCAGTACAAGCCGAGATAAGCCAGGAGACGGAGTCAGCCCCGTTACGGGGAATAATCAACAAAATAGCAGGCGGTTTTGCTGGAGGAGGCGCCAGCAGCTCGGCCCGAAAAAGACATTTGCGGAACGTCAACTGCGTCCACTCAACCACCTCGGCCCTGCACCAAAGTTCACCACCGATCTCCTTCTCCGACGAAGATTACGCCGGCCTTAGCCCTAACCAGGATGACCCCATGGTCATCGTTCTGGAGATAGCCAACTGGAAAGGGCAAAAAACACTCATCGATCAGGGAAGCTCGGCTGACGTCCTATACTGGCTAACATTCCTCAAACTAGACATCCCCCACTCTCTCATTCAACCTCACACGGAGCCTCTGGTCGGCTTTGCAGGAGAGCGAGTCCATACTCGGGGATACGTAGACTTGCTGACGACCTTCAGAACACCACCAGATACAAGACGAGTCATGGTCCGGTACCTCCTCGTGGAAGCCAATACTTCTTACAACATCATCATCGGGAGGCCGACCCTGAACCAACTCGGAGCGGTTGTGTCAACTCCACACCTCACCATGAAGTTTCCAGGAAAGGACGGCAAGGTCATCTCAGTCAAAGCTAACCAGAAGACAGCTCGACAATGCTACGCCGAAAGCCTGAGGATCTCCACACCAAGCAAGCAAAGCAAGGGGAACCCCCTCACTATAGACCCTTAAGTTTTTAAAACCCCTTTTACTTTCAGCACGAACAAACTGTGCACTCTTTTCCTGCCTTAGTCCTCGACTGAGAGGGTTTTTAATGAGGCACACAAAAACTATCAATAAAATTACTCGTTTTGCACAATTTATTACCTCATCTATCGCTTTTGCATGAACGAAATCACGCACCCTAAGGGCCTATACTTACAACGTAAGGTCGAATACGAACCTTACATGCTTCTCCGAGGTCAAGTCTTAACCTCGCAAAATCCGTAAGGTCGAAAACGAACCTTACATGCTTATCCGAGGTCAAGTTTGAACCTCGCAAAATCCGTAAGGTCGAAAACGAACCTTACAGGCTTATCCGAGGCCAAGTCTGAACCTCGCAAAATTCGTAAGGTCGAATACGAACCTTACAGGCTTATCCGAGGTCAAGTCTGAACCTCGCAAAATTCGTAAGGTCGAATACGAACCCTACATGCCTCTCCGAGGTCAAGTCTGAACCTTGCAAAATTCGTAAGGTCGAATACGAACCTTACAGGCTTATCCGAGGTCAAGTCTGAACCTCGCAAAATTCGTAAGGTCGAATACGAACCTTACATGCTTATCCGAGGTCAAGTCTGAACCTCGCAAAATCTGTAAGGTCGAAAATGAGCCTTATACGCCTTTCCGAGGTCAAGTCTGAACCTCGTTAAACCCGTAAGGTTGAATACAAACCATAACACGCTTACTCAGAATCGCAAACGATCCTCACATGAGAGCGTTTCACCCAAACCTAAGGACAAAATTGGAAAAACAGTAAAACCAGTCGCTCAAACCTAAAACGCAAGGTCGGGCATGAACCAGAGCATGGTCAAACTTGCATACGAACTCCAGCCCCAAGGTCGAGTGCAAACCATTCACTGGGGCCGAGACCCCACTCTCAATCCCGGGGTCAAACTAAAACCCCGACACGACCAACCTCAAGTCGGCTCCAGACCTTGACTCCAGTATGGGGTCAAATGTGAACTTACACAATGATTACTTAGTCAAAATCCGAGGTCGAATACGAACCCTAACACGGCCCTCCAAGGTCGAGTTCGACATCCATCTAGGGTCAAGTTCGAACTCCCACGCGAAATTTGGAGAATTCAAGTTTGATCCCGAACCTCGACTTCACCAACTCAAGGTAGAAGTATCACCACATACAAAAGCATGCAACAGGCACCAAACGTGTGCCTTAGACAGCGCGAACACCCCAAAATTAAGCGCAAATATGGGCGAGATAGAGCAAAATATGTACACATATATAAATAAAGTTCCAAAATTCAATACATAAATCCAAGCAAAATAAAACAGGCCATTACAGAGGCAACCTAAACTGAAGCACCCCCACTAGAGCTGTCATCGGCGTCATCCTCCCGGACCAACCTCCCAAAGCGGACGATTTTCTCCACATGCATGGAAGAGAAGTCGAATCCGGGAGCAAGAAGCCGTGCCTGACGAGCAGCCTTTTGGAAGCCCCTCTTGTGCTCGACCACGACGGAGCGCTTAACCTCCACGAGCCTCCTCTCCACGACTGCCTTTCCCGCGGCCAGCTTGGTCAGCTCCGTCTTCAAGGTGGCGACCTCATCCTCGTAGCCACCCAGAATGACCTCGCTGCGGAGGCGCTCCTCAGAAGTCACCGCCAACTCCCCCTTGAGGGAGGTCACAGCATCCTCCAAAGCCCGTACTTCGTCACGGGAAGACGTCACCTTGTCCTCCAAGGAACGAGCACGTTTTATGGAGAAGGCAGCAAGCTCCTGCAACTCCCCCACCTGAGAAGCGTAAGCCTCATTGGATCGCAACGCGATCTCAAGAGACTTCTGCGCCCGTGCAAGGTCACCACGTGCAGATCGGAGCTCGGCCTCCTGCCGCCTCGCCTCGCCAAGGGCGGCACTAAGGGCGTTATTTTCCTCCCTTAGGATCTTGTTGGCCTCCTTCCAAGGTTGGAGTCGCCCCCTCAACTTGGCCAGTTCTTCCTGTTGCCCGGCCAAAACCTCTCGTTGTTGGCCCCATTTGGGCTTCTAGTGGCCCATTATTCCCATGACCCTCTGCAGCATGACTTGGGCAGCATCAAAACTGTCCACGGGACCGACCTCATCAATCAATCCCTGGTCCTCGGAACTCAGCGAGCCCTGAGGGAAGAACTTCTCCGCGGTCACCACCGCGCTCCATAGAGAATTCAAGTTCGCGGAGGCGCTCACGTGGTCCAGCCGCACGGTGTCAAGACCTTTTCCGAAGCGGTGGGCCAAGTACTTAGTCCGGGGAGGTCCCCGCGACGAACCCTCCGGTGGCACCGAAGCCGCAGCAGAAGCCGACATCCCCTGCTCAACATCCTGAAAGTCCACCACGGGGACCTCCGACCTCGCCTACAAAAATCAGTCACACGTCAAAAATAAACAGGAGGGCTAGGGGAGAACCACCAAGAAAAATATGCAAACACTACTTACCTCGGCAGCAGGGCCAGCCTGCTCAACGGCCTGGGCAACCCGCCCAGCAGCCTGTGTCGCCACCTCGGCAGCATTTCCTGCTTGTGAAAAACTGCCCTAAGTCAGACGACCAGCCAACACAACAAAGGGCAAATGAAAAACTCAAAGAACAAGAGACTCACCACCTCGGCAACTCGAGCAACCTGCTCAACTGCCTGGTCTCCTATTCCGGCAGTAGCCACCCCGACCTACAAAAGGAACCAGCTAGCCTCAATAAACCTAACTTAGTTGAGACAAAAAGAGGCATTTTGGGAAGAGAGATCCTCACCTCGGCGGCCTGCACGGCGGGCTCAGCAGTCCGAGCCACCTCTTCAGTAGCCACTTGGGACGGCAGACTCTCGGTGAAATCCACCACATCAGCATCGGCCGTTTGGGAGGTCACCTCCTCGGCGTCCTGAGGGACGGAAGGCCCAACGACCTCTTTTCCCCCCCTCCTCCTCTTCCGACTAGCCTTAGGGAGGGGAACCTCCTCCTCTAGGAGATCGGGAACTTCGAGCTCAGCAACGTTGTAGCGGTGCTTAAACTCCTTCCATAATTTCCCCATATGACCTGCAAACAAAAGAAGGAAACACGTAGGAAAAAGGAGAGGCAAGCAAACCCCAACAGCCGATCGAAGGCAAAATACTCACTCTCTAGGTCCCTCTCCCTGTGCGCTGACCTCTCGAGCGACAGGATGAACTTGCAATCCAGCGGCCGAGGAAGCGCCTCAAGGTTCTCGATGGCTACCGACTCCGCAGCCGTCAACTTCAATTGGCCCACCCCATGAAACCTGGACGGTTTGGGGCACCAATAAAATGGGAACTTCGGCAACCCACCAAAGTAGAATGCACCATCCTCCACCGGATCGACATCCACTAAGGCGACCCGAAAAAACTCCTGTTTAAAGTCTTTGTACGATTGGGAGTAGAGGGTGAACAAACCCCCACCCTTACCCCCATTCAACGACAAAATGCCGTAAGGAGGGACACCCAGCTTCAGCTGGTAAAAATGAAGAAAGACGGGAAGAGACACCTCTATCCCTAAAACTGTACAAAGGACCTCGAAGGCCCGCAAAAAACCCCAACTATTGGGGTGCAACTGACAAGGAGCCGCGTTGATATGATTCAAGAAATCACACTCAAACTGAGTGAAAGGGAGACGGACACCTAGGTCCCTGAAAAAACACCAAAACATATAGAAGTGGGGAGGGTCGGTCGACTTCCCCATAAACACACCCTCCCCGGCCTGACAAGGTTCAAGCCGGAGCATTGAAGAGATGGAGGGGTCACAAACCCGCCGCGTCTCCCAAACCGCGTCAACATCAGAACGCGAATGGAACACACTTTCAACCCCAGCTACGTCGCACCTGACCCAGTCATAGCCAGGAACCCCTGGCACCAAATCCTTGGGCGGATCAACCTTCGCGGCGGCGGCCTTTCCGGTGACCACCGCCTTACCCCGTGCCCTGCCTTTCCTCTTGGCAGGTGCAGAAGAACCAGCACCACTCTCCCCAGCCATAAAAGAGAAGAAGAAACAAGACAGACCCGACGAAAACTTGGAGAAGAAGGCGAGGAGAAAACGATAAGAGTAGGAAGTACCTGGTACTATTCCTCAGAAAATTACCCTAGCAACAACTGGGTCACCGGAAACGATGGTGGAAACGGGAAAAACGAAGACGGAAAGACAACGAAGGTTAGAGAGAAAGCGTGCACGAAAAGTCTGAAGAAACGAGAAATGAGTAAAGTGAAGAGAGAAGAGGCGCGGAGAAGAGAAAAGGTTTTACCCAAATTCAAACGGCCACAACACGTGTCATCCAGGGGACGCACTTGAACGTGCAATAAATGATACCCATTATGACAAAAAGAGCCATCATTGCATAACCGTCACACCCATCAACACACAGGCCTCGGTTACTAAAACGAGAAACGACACGCGGCGCAATGAATAAGCCAGCGTACCCAAAAAGTCATTCCCCCTGGTGAAGCTCGGACTCACCTACACCGCCCGATCTGTGAAACCAAGCTCGGAGCTCGGCACCACAGCGCGAGATGACCCCGGGCGTGTAATATGTATTGTCAGCTCGGTATTTAAGATCAGGGACCCTCGCCCTAGACCAAACCTACTACTCAACCTCAGGACTACATCTCCCAACCAAGGTCGAGTCCGAACCTTGAGACTACATCCTCCTAACCAAGGTCGAGTCTGAACCTTGAGATCACACCTACCTAGCAAGGTCAAGTCTGAACCTTCAAACAATAAATTGGGAGGCTCCTCAGAAACCCATTCCCTCTCGCATCGCTCGACACTTAAAGGGCAAGGGTCCTGGCCAACCATGCCACCAACTTGCCCCTCGCCAATCTACTGATTTGATCAAAGACTCACTAGTTCGACCAGGCAGTAACCTCGACATCACCGAGCCCCGCAGTTTGGCCATGAAGCACAAACTTTGGAACACCTCATCGGCCCAAAGAGGTCACGCCATCAAATAGATGAGCACACAATCTTGCCACCACGCCACCCTCACATTTC